TGAAGAAATTTTAATTATGAGATTAGAATTAGGTCATTAAACAATCCCTGATCAAAGAAATGTCATGATCCAAATGGGCAAATCACTCGATCACTGCGGTCATCTATTAACAATCTTAATTTAATCTCATCTCTCATATTTACTGAACTGACTTATGGAATATCTTATCTTTCTTCATATTTCTTTTTAGAAATAAAAAAAATCTTTTTTTTTTTTAGAAATAAGAACGGTTCATTCATTTCGTTAACATAACTAAACAAAATAATTTCGGATCAATGAAGAAATAAATTTGGTAGAGATATTAAAATAATATATTAATAAAAAATTTTTCAGTAATTTATCAAGAACTAAAGTTAGCATCAATTTCAAAGTGAAATATTTTAGTATTTGATCAGTTCAGTTCAAGCAAACCGAATTATTATCATCATTGATAATCAGCAAGGAGGTGGTTGATAGTATGATAATTTTGTTGATATGATAACTATTGCATGATTTAAACTCTTCTTTCTTTCATCACCCAAAAGATACAAGTGCTTCGATGAGCTGAGGTGAATTAATTATGATGAGTGAAAAATTTGCATAAAAACAATTCAATAACTGAAATGATAGAAAACATAAAGCATTTAGTTGCAGTGTTTTTTTGGTTGTTGTTTTTTTTTAGTTTTTTATTACTTTCCGGTTGTTCTAGAATGAAAGTAAATTATAGAAAAATTTTAAAAACAATTTTACAAGTGCAAAAATGATGGATAAAATTGTGGAACTTGCTAAGAGTGATAGAGAAAAAAAATTAATTAGAAGAAAAAATTTTCCTGATATATATAGAAGTAGTAAAAGAGGAATTCTCATAAATTGATAACTGCTGATAAATTCTTCGAAAACCATCATGCTGATTTATCCATAAATACATTTTCTTTTTAAAATTATTCTTTTTCAGGTGCTATTTTTCCAGAAGCAATAATTTCAGTGAATTTTGACAAGGCAAAAGAGAGAAGAAAAAAAAAAACGAAGAAATTACAAAATCTCTTCATGGCGATAAATATAAATGATAATAGAATTATATGAATACAATAAGTTGGAAGATGAAATTTTTACGATATATCTTTCGTCCGTTATTGGGTATCTTCTTTGGTGCGATTCTTTTTTTAACATCATTTTTTGGTAATTCAGTGATAACACTTATCTTACCAATACTTTACCTTAATCGTCATCAACAATGGCGTTTGTTCATTGATCGGGCAATTAGTTTCTGGATTGTTATTCCTGTTGTAAGTATTTTCCGCATTTTTCATTTTTATAACTAAATTTGTCCAATTATTTTCATATATTAATGTTTTTATCGTAATTTTTTCATAAAATTTTTTTGCATTTGAATATTTAAAAAAAGAAAATTTTCACTTAAATTTCCTATTGAAATATATTTTACACAAAAATGATTGATTTTTCTTCTTTGATCAAATTCTTTATTCAAAATGATAAGTGATTAAAATGAATAATTAACATTGATAGATGAAACGAAATAGTATTAATAAATAATAAATTATATCATCTAGTTTAGTTTAAAAGTAATATAATAGTCGACATAATAAAGTAATTTTATATATTAGCCTAGGTTTGTACTAAATGCAAATGTTAATGTGAATTTCTTTTAAAACGTTAATTTCTTATTGGTTAATTTCTTAAAATTTGTAGTAATTATTATTATCTCTTTTTCTTTCGTTCTTTGATTTATTTGCGACAAGAAAATTTGAAGACTGTATGATTTAAATAATTCATAATAAGTTTTTATAAAAATTTTTTAAGAAATATTATAAATCTTTCATTTCAGACTTTTTTGGAATATATATTTGGTATGAAATTCAAGATAACAGGTGATACCATTGATTATGATCGTCCAGCAGTGATAATAATGAATCATCGAACGAGACTTGATTGGATGTATTTTTGGGCGGCATTATTTAAGATGAATCCATGGCTATTGATTAGCTCAAAAATTGCTTTAAAAGCTGAACTTCGCCGTATACCAGCAGCAGGCTTCTTTTCTTGCATTCTAAAATTTTGCATAAAAACACATTTCAAATATTTGATCAAAAATTTAGCAGAGTTTTTTTTTTGTTTAACTTAAAATTTTTACAGTAGCAATTTTTTATTTAACAGATATTATTAAAATTAAGTTCATTTAAATTAGTTGAAAAATATAAAATTAGGAGTAATTGAATAATTGTTTAATTTAATTGAAGGTTTTGGAATGGAAGCAAATCAGTTCATCTTTTTGGATCGTAAAATAAAAACGGATAAGGAACGAATTTCGGAAGCAATTCATTACTATGCATCTGTTGGAAGCAATTATCAGGTTTATCGTTTTAAAATTATCAATTTTATTCTTTTGTGAACAAAAAATCATTTGTTTGCAAATATGTGCATATCATTCATTATCAATGCATTGATTACAAAACTATTCAATGCCGGAATTACGAATGGAAACAGTTAAATGATTTCATCAGAAAAAAGAAAATTTTCAAGCGAAAAAAACTACAATGATTAATTGATGCCACAAATTCGCATTAAATTTATTTTACCAAATATATCCTTTGAAAAATGCAGCAATTAATTAATTAGGGTGTAGTTTTTTTTTCATTCTTTTTTTCTCTAAAAAAAATATATTTCTTTAAATAACAACGGAAGCAAAATAAAAAACAGAAAAATTCACTCCAATATTATCAACAGAACATGAAGAAATGAGAAAGATATGTCAAAACTTTCTGATATGCTCTATTTCATCTTAATTAATATATTTTCATACATTAGTTCAAATTTCAAAATTTCGAAAAATCTCAACAATTTTTATCAATTTCATTTCTTTTTCATTATCTTTTCCGTTTTCAGATATTATTATTTCCTGAAGGAACGGATAAAACGCCTAATACAACGATGAAAAGTAATATGTATGCGAAAAAGAATGGCTTAAAACAATTGAACAATCTAATCTATCCTCGTTCAGCTGGGCTTATTCATTTTATCAATGAGATGAGACGACGTTCGTTTATCAAAAATTACCATGAAATTATCAGTGACTATAAATAGAATGGATAAAAGATAGACAAAAATTTCATTTCTATTTTAAATTCCTTTTACATTTATAGTTTAGATAATTACATCGAATGCATCTATGATGTAACTATCGCTTATCCGGTAAATATCGTTCAATCAGAAGTTAGTCTAATCTTAAGTGGTCGTACACCACAAAAAGTATTATTTCATATTGAACGAATTGATTTATCATATGTACCACTTGAAGATCATGATATTGCTCAATGGATTAATGAGTACTTACTTTTTCCTTTTTCATTTTAATTTAAAATTTTCAAATTGAATATATTGTTAGAATGAAAATTATTAGATATATGACGTATTAGAAATGATTTAAAAAAAAAAACAAATAAATAAATAAATAACGAGAATAAACAATGGAAAATATTTGATATTTAGATAGAGCGGAAATATAATAACTCTTCATAGGTAAAATTCAATTCAGATATAAAAAGAGACTGAAAAGAAAATTTTTAAAATTTAAATTCTTTTCAGAATGATGCAATTTTTAGGCTATGGATTGCGAAAGACGAGAAATTAGATTTATTTTATTCACAGCAACCACCACGTGTGCATTTTCCAAATGACAAGAATAAATTTGTATGGGAGGTAGGTGATGGGAAAATTTAAGATTTGAGGATAAAATGATAATGGAAATAATTAATGATGCAGTTGAAAAAGGAAAACATAAATATTACGATGTGTTAGAAATGATTTAAAAAAAAAAAACAAATAAATAATTTCAGGATGATAATTCACTTCAAAAAACAGTCAAACTATTTATACTCTCTTGCTGGTTATCATTAACTCTTTTTTGGTTCTATTATCTAACATTTTTAAGATTTGTTCAGGTAATATGTTTAAAAAATTCCTTCTCTAACATTAGTAATTTTAATTCTGCTCATAATCAAATAATTCAATTGTAGTCATGTGTTTTATTCACATAAGTTACTGAAAGTGATCGATAAGTTTAGGTGCTTTTTGGATATTTCATTTTTGCGTATGCTTATATAAATGGTAAATATGGTGGTATCCAACGAATGGTATATGTCAAATGGTGGCATTCATTGGAGGCGGAGACGGTAGTTCACAGGTGACATTATATTTATTAATCTTACTTTTACCACTTTCAAACCCTAATCCAACCAGTTCATTTATTATGAATTCTAGAACATTGTCGAAAACACTATTAACGACTTTTTTACTTCATCTATTGTAAGTAATGCTATTATAATGAATGCATCGAAAATAGTTCCGGAATTTTGATTTACGCTCTATTTTTGCACGATTTTCCAAGATTTTTTCATAAAAAGGCGAAATCATGATTTACTTCAGGGTTCCATTTTATTAACAAAATATTAAAACGACGAAATTAGACAACACAAATTTGATTTGTATCATCGAAAGTCTTTCTCATGTCCTTTTTCCAGAAAAACAAACATGATACAGGATTGCCAGAACAAAGAAATGATAGAAAAGAATGTACAAATCTGTCGCCTCAATTGAAAAGTTTACACAAATTGAATTCTTCATTTTACATCGATAATTAAGACGTTAATTTAAACAAACAATTATTATTCCATTTTATTCGTTGCCTCTTCTTCTTCTGTCTCCCCAGCACGCTGTTCACGTGTTTTCGAAGTATTCAAACGCCAAATCTAAAGTTTTTCAAGAAATTTTTGTTCAATTTTGATTTACAATGATATAAATGCAATTCGAATACAAGCAGCATCTGTCAAACGTCCATTACATATAAAACTGAACGAATTGACAAATTCGACAACCTGTATATAAGATTCGGCTAATGTAATCATCTGCGGTAGTATTTCTTTCACGTGCAAGTCTTCCAGTTCATACCATTTCTGAGTACCCTGGAAGTAACGCATATGATTAATGATATTTGATATATGTATTCTTTTCGATTGAAATATGAAGGAAAAATAGTCTTCTATCCATTAAATGAGTGTAAGTGATAAAAAGAAACGAACGTTATGAAGAATCTGGATACGATAGGAGCCAGATGATGGTGGGCCATCATGAACAATATTTGAAACGAGATCATAAGTTGTATATTTATGCATAGGACGCATTTCTTCTGCCAAACAATCATACAAGTCAACGTTGCTGAAATAGAACATTTTTCATCATAATTACTCACTATCTCAGCCGTTTTTTGAAATTATAAAATCATCTCTGGAAACATGTCAAATTGAAACAAGGATGCGTTCTTTGTCCACGTGAACTATTCGGCTCATTAGGAATGTCGAAAATTTGAATCACCATTCAATTATTAAACAAGTCAATGAATGAATTAATCGTTCTATAACTATATAACAAAAAATCCTTTATTCATTACCTTATAGGAAAATTGACAATTGTAGGATTTTTTTCGACGAACCACTGATTTTTATGAAATCTTTTATAAGTTATAATTAAGTAAGGCGGCAAACGGACCAGTTGAAAACGCTTCATGAAATTCTCACTGTATGTTTTATATTCCTGGAATGATATATGTACTAAAATGATCAAGCACAAAAATTTTAGTGAATTTATTAAGCTGCTTTTACAACTGTTAATAATGCGGGAAAAAAACTCGAAGAGAGAAAAAGACAATAACCTTCTCAGTGGCTCCGTTAAATTTAGTCAATAGCACCGAAAGTGGCACTTGTGGTATAATATTCTGCAACAATTCGTCACGATATAAGGGGGCAGCTGGTAAATCCAACGTAAGATAAAGAAATGGAATTTCGAGTTTCTTCTCTGAAAGAAAGAAATTCATCAATGAACTTCCAATTGTACAAGAAAATGACACCAAGTGATAATGAAATATTTAACAGGATCTATGAAAGCACCTTTATATTCATCAGTTTCTAGCAAAGTTTTTCGTGCTTCTTCGGTTGTTTCTACTGGTATTACTTTCCGTGTAAATTCATGCAGTCGACCTCGAAATATCCTGTAGATAATTGATGACGATGTTTTGCGGGTACCATTTAGTGCTATGTGAAGGGTATTCAACAAAAAATTCAAGAACTCGGCTGCATCACCTGCAACTTTTCAAAATAAAATATCGGCTGAGAAGTATGATTATACTGTTTCCATTTCAAAAATACTTTTTTTCTGGAATGACTTGAATCATTTATGCGTTTATGCATTTTTCAAAACTGATGAAACAAACCCTGTTTGGTGATTTGAAATTTTTTGTTGCTGCATAATACACTTGCTTGCAGCATTTCATGAGGTGAAACATGCGCTTTGAAAGCCTTTGGATTCCATAATTTTCTGATTAATTCACCAAAACGCTTCGGCAATAGTGTTAACTTATCGCCAGGTGGCCTTTTTATATTTATGTAATTTTCTTCACGTAAAAAGTAGTCGCGAAGAGGTGGAACATGTGAAAGTGCCTGAAACACGATTTTTTTTTCAGAATGACAAAATACTTTTCCGAATTAGTGAATAAACAAATATCAGAAACTTTTTCAAAATGATTTAATGCTATTTAAATCGATACTACTACAGTAGAGTTGCATATATTCAGCAAGTTGCAGTGCAGGATATATTATCGTCGAGAGAATATGAAATGCAAATAGAGAATATGAGATGCAAATTACTAATTTTTTAATTATTACTACACTGAGTGCAAATTAAAGACTTCAGAATGAAGACTCACATGCAGCACTACATTTTCATAGTCATTGGCCTTGATATTGTTCAGACCTACAACACCTGGATGATAAGTTGTTCCATCAAAAGCTCGAGCCATCTTTCCCATTTTATCGATTTCCATAATGTATTTTGTCGTATAAGTTGGTTTCAATACATACTAAAATAATTTATATGTTAACTACTTTGCACAAACAGTTAAAACACATTTTTTTCTATTTCATAAGGAACTGTTAATTTTTTCTACCGATTAGTATAAAATAACCACCTTGATATCATCCAGCGATGGATCTATGATTTCATAATTATCTGGCAAGCAGTAAAACTTCAAAGTGCTTAAATTCAAGAAAACTCGATGGTTGGTATCCAGTGAATGAGTATATGCATGAGTGCTGGTGCCTCGGCCCTGAAAATCAGTTAAACATTATAATAAATATGGTCTGTGAATTTTTCCGACTGTGCCAACTGTCTGTAAAAATCATTCAAGCATGACAATAAATTCTGTACAGTTTAAGATTTACCTGGAAATATTTCCCACAAACCATACAAGCATAAACATTGATATGTGATAATGAAACGGAACACAATTTTTCGAAATCAAAATCTAACGCGCATCTGCAAAAATAAATTTTGATAACAAAAAACTCATTAATAGTTAAAAAAAGGAGCCAAGGTGGAAATAAAAAACAAATTTCTGTTAAATGTATGGAATGTAAAGTAAATGAGAATGAAATTGAAAAGCAAACCTATCAATAGTATCCAAATATGGGCATTGTCGACTTGGCTTCTCAATTTGAGCCTTTTTCAACGACCAAACTGCATCATTATCCGCATCCAGCAGCTCTGGATGCTCTTGTTCTTCTTTTAACAGCCTGAGAATTTCCTGTTCTCTTGCTGTTGGTTCTTTCTTGACAGTGTCTGTGTTATTTTGTTCCAAATTTGTATCATTCGTCTCAATCTCCAATCCTGCTTTTGAAAATATTCCTGGAATAGGAATTCTTTCCACAAAAATATGTACCTGCTACAAATTAAACTAATTAGAAATATACTTTAAAAACCACTGAATACAATTACAAACGTTAACTTAAAAAGTGATGATAAAAGAAGAGGATTTAAAATATACCATCAATTTCATTTGCATCATTTCTTTTTTCTTTTTCTATGGGAGAACGACGATGTTTCTCACCTTTCGAATACTATAAACAGCAACCATTATTTATATCAAAAATGGGAACATCTACTTCAATTTTCCTGTTCATCACAACTATTTGGGGAAATTTCCCACCAATTTGAATATGATTTAGTACAGATTCCGGTGGCTGCTCAATCTTAACAGAAATTTAAAACATCAGCTGCATTTTAAAGTCATTCATGATTATGGTGGCAATGGTCATTTAACAAATAAGCAACATATAATAACGACAATATGAATACCTTTTTTGATGATTTAGTGTCTTTATGACTCGAATGCTTGCGTTTCGACCGTAATCTTGAATCATCTCGGCTGGTATCACTGCTAGAATCTGTTGTTCGTGATCGCTTACGCTTTCTGTCCTTAATATTGCCGCTAGAATCTTCCTTCCGACTCTTTCTTGAAAACTCATTTGACAATTTATCTGCAAATATTAGCATAACGATGTTTAACGTTTCGCACTATTCCCTCTCGATAATATACCACTCAAGTTTTGATAAATTACAAAGGCAAGTATGAAACTAAGAATAATGAAAGTCTAAAAATCACCAGCTTTAGTTGTTGTTTCATGCTTTTCACTACCATTCTCAGTTTCCACTAATTCACCTTCTTCATTATTTGTAGAAACACCCTGAAGAAATCTTTACTTGACAAATAAAAATTCAATCGGTAATAGAAATATATAGTCTTACAGGCATCATTTCTTTTGTAATTTCAACATTTTGTTCGCTATTCCGATGACTTTCACTGCGTTCACTCTGCAAATTAATCATAAGTTAATGTTAAAGAAAAAAGAATATTCCTTCCCTCCTGAAAAATGCAATATATTTTCTGAATTCAACTACTGCTGCAATCAACATCAACAGAAATATGCATTATGTTACATGAGATTCCGCTGTTGTTTCATTCAATCTCAATGCATTACTGATAAGCATTTGCAAGATCAAGAAAATGCGTTTCATTTTGCTCTTTGATTAAGAATATTCAGCAAGAAAGCTAACAAAACAGCAGTAATGTTAAAACTATCAACAATACGTAATGCGCAATGACAGCATTAACAATAACAACAATAATTCATGAAAAAAAGAGCAGAAAAGAGAGCATCACTTAATGCGCATGCTAATAAATACATCAAACAATCAAATTCAATATAACTGAATATGAATAATAAAATCATATCAAATATTAACCGATTAAATATTTGTACATTAAATATTAATTGATTAAATATTTAATGAATAAATATTCAAATATACTAAATGCATACCTTATTTTCGTTACTTTCTTCTGCTCGTTTTCTATTCCTTGTTGTAACCATCGTAATAAAATATTCTATAAATTATCTACTTATGCACAAGTTTGAAGATCATAAAAATCATCCCATTTTAATCTTCTCCTGGATGCTTACATTCAGAATGAATAATTCACTGAGCAAAATAACTCCAATCCCCGCTTCTATCTCCCGCCCCCGCCCTCGCCCCCTCCCCTATACCAAATAACACCGGTGTCAAATTTTTCAATCGGAAACAAAAAACGAGCTTCATTTTTTCACACAAAAAAAACTCGCTCGTAGGCCACTATGAAATTCTTCCTCAAGTAATTGTTGTCATCGATGGTTACTTGTCAGATGGTGCTATCAATCTTTTAGCTGATAACCGTTATCAATGTGATTTTCAGTCAGTTCTCGAATGACAATTATAATAGTAATAATGCTTAGGAAATATTTTAAATTTGAGAGATGGAATTTTTGCAAATAACTCCAAATTGTGGCTGCGAATATTAAGAATAAGTCTGAGAGGATGATAGTTGTTTAGAATTGTTCATGTATATTTTTAAATTCCATCATAGTGGATTTTCATTTTCTATCCAATCATGATACTGCTAATTTTTTGTTTAATTATTCCGTGACTTTCTTTCTTTATAATTAAAGCGATGAAAATTTTTAATTATTTTGTGATTTCTTTTAACTTGCTCATGGAAACTTTCTCAATAATTATTTCATTCATTACTTTCTGCTCTTATTTCCATTTTTAATCTCTTTTAAGGCTTTGGTTCTCACTTTTAGTTTCTTATAAAATTAAAAAATTCAAGAGTTGAAATTTTTGTGCTACACCTTTAGCATGATTCATTCGCTCATTGTTCGTTTCTGAAAAATTTGAATCACATTCAAATTTTTCAGCTCTCAGTTATGTTTTATCTTATTTCGCTGTATTTTCAATTATTGTGATATAATTTCTCGCCGATGATTTATTTTATTGGATTAATGAAAGGTTCGGCAGATAAAAAAGCAAAGCTGATAATTAATTAATTCATTTGATTTCTTCAGAAAAATTCATGTGTCGAAATTGTATTGCAAGGAAAAATACGATTGAAATTAAAATGGCTATCACTTAAATAGACGAGTGATAATGCATTCTGAAATTGAAATAAGTATGAAGCATAAAACTTGTAGTTGCTAACAGACATTCGAGAATAAATTTTGTCGATGGAAATAAGGATCAATCGGCAAAAATTAAAATCGACGTATGCATCAACAAGCCAAGGATAATGTCGTGATAAAAGCTTTCACTGGTAAGCAATCCCAGACCTCTCGATTTTAACAAATGATCTTGTAAGTAGATAAAATCACAGTGTGATTTAATCTATTTATAGACGTTGATGTAGGACTCACGCTACGTAAATGTATAGCTGTAATGCTATATGGATGGCAAAGGTTGCTATAATATCTAATAATAAATACTGAATGGTATATTTCAAATGTAAGAAGTGTTACCCAATGCAATTTGTATGCTTGAACTTTTCGCTATTGATTTTTTTCACTGGATTTCAGGAATGTAGGATCGAGCAGCAATCAGGTATATTTCATTCGGTAACTACAAATAGTCAATTTTGTTTCTCTCAATTCATATTCCTATTTTTAATTTGTATTCAGGAAAATTCAGGCTCTACGTGGCAGTGCATTCAAAGAGAACGTAGACGTTGACTTAGGACTCACGCTACGTAAATAATTGATGCAATGTCGGCGAGTCTTAGGTCGCATATATTCGAAATGTACACAGCTGAGGAGACGAACAGTTCTGGCGAAAAAAGTAGATTGAAGACCAGGCATATGGTCATTATAACTTTGAAAAGTTTGTTCTTGAAATTGTATCCAACGCATTATTACTTGGAAACGCTGACAAGCAGCACGTTCATAATCTCGAGAATTATAATGTACACGTTGAGCATCACGTGCAAGCAAGTAGTACAACTCATTGCTCGTCATTAACTAAAATTTTCCAATCATGGAATAAATTATTGCATATATGAAAATTGAAATTTAAATCTTACAAAACCGAAGCAGTCTTAGAGAAATTTTGTTAGTACTCGAGATATGAAATTTTATCATGCTTAGTTATCGTATATGATAAACTGCAATGTAAGCAATAATGCAAATATCAATTGATTTCAGTCCTATTTTTTATTATAGTATGACATGTGAACATTATTCAGATAACACTATTCAAAGCTCCATGACCATTTTCAGATTGCTACATCATCATCATCATCATCACGGCCAATTAAAACTCTTAAAAATTATTAAAAAACCGTAAAAGAGATTAAAAAGTATCGGAAAAAACGTAGTGTTTTAAAAATTCTTTAAAAATTTTTTGTAAAGTTCATAGAAATATTTTTAGCAAAGCAAATAGTCGAAATTCATGATAAAAGTATTTCATAAAAAAATTTTTACTATGCCAATACTTGTTTATTATATTAATTAGATGCTTGATTGCATCTATCCAATTAATTTTTTTTTGAAATCATATTACTTATTAGCTTTAATTTCGAGAAAAGTTTTGCATGAACCATGAAAATTGGGAAACTTATTTGAAGTAATTTGAACAATAGCAACTAAAAAAAGACAAACAATCAAAGTAAATTTTGTCCAAAACATACTGCTAACGTGCTTCGTTCCTTTCTGATTGCCTGTTCGATATGTGGCGAAAGATAATGTGCCATATTTTCAGAAACAATTGTTTGTGTTTCATAAGTTACGGAGTGCATTATTTGCTCATCCTGACAAGTTTAAAACAGTGAAATATCACTCATTCCAATGGTCAGTTATGGTCAATCAATCGGTGATACGATGAAAAATACTGGTCATATTGTACTTACTGATCATCACTATGATTAAACTGAATTAGTTATGATCAAGTATTGATCAAAACCAACCTTATAAACGGTGGCTATAAGTGAACAAATTTTTCAAATTAAATCATTACATGGAAAATAGCTTTGTATGCTTCCAATACAGTTTCTGGTCTTTTCGATCGTTGGCGTACGAATGACTCTATCAAACGGCTTAATTGTGCAATACGAAAGAACATTGCACACTAAAAAAAAAAGATGAAAGGCATAACTATCTATCAATGCAAATGTTATCCATTTTATAAAAATTATCTTTTTCTTTGTAAATGTATTTAATATAAATTCTCTTCCTAAATTCATATTTGTAATTTTCAAATTATTTGAAAAAAAAAAAATAATACAACATATTTTACAACCCGAAGCATATCTGAAATTGCCACACAATCAAGTTGAAGTGATCCGGTACGCATAAATTCAATTGTTGCCTTGATTGTATGCCAATGAAATGGTAAAGCTAAATTATACGATTATTTTCTTTAAACCTACAGTTATTCAAATTAGTTATTATTTAATTATAAGCTAATAAATGATGACAACCATTATGCAACATCATTTACATTGATCAAGGAAATAAAACAAATTTGAATAGAAATAAATACGCACGTGATGTATTTTTTCACTTTAAAAACATTTTCAAATATAAGTTCAATAATATAAAATACTGAAGACTAGTGCTAATGCCTATTTAAAAGTAACTTTTAAATATGAATAATTTGACTCGTTTGAAAATATTACAACAAAAAGATTATTACAAACGATAAAAAAAGATTTTTTTCATCAATTTTTTTTTCCCCCCACCATACTTCCATCTGCTTTGATTTTTAATTTTAATTTAATTTTTCAGTTTTAATAATTTCATTTAATTTTTTGTTTGATTTCATTTCCAATAACAATAGCTTGATTAATATCACATGAATGCATACTTGTAATTTCTGTATTTTCATTTATTGTGTTAAGATAACTGTTTGAAATATTTCATAAATTCATTTTTTTTTTCCTTCCACTTACTTCTCTTAGATGTACATTGTAAATAAATGAATGACGAAGGAAATGCATGCAACCAACCGCTACAGTTCAGAATGAGTGATTGTATGCCGGTTTTGTTGACAAGTTCACGGATGTAAAGTGAATGAGTGCAAGCTAATGCTGTGTTAATACATTCAACTCGATTATCCTCCCTATAAAATTCCATCCTCTACGCTGATTAATTTTAGCAGCTATTTAAATGTGACTTAATCTCGATTGCCATCCTATAAAATTCCATTCTTTATGCTGATTAATTTTAGCAGCTATTTAAATGTGACTTAATCTCGATTGCCATCCTATAAAATTCCATTCTTTATGCTGATTAATTTTAGCAGCTATTTAAATTTGACTTAATCTCGGCATGTTAATAATTTGATTAATACTCACTTATGAAATTGTACCATTCTACCGCTCCATCTGTTTTGTTGTTTTTGCATGTTTATTGCAGGCTGAATAATAAAAAAAAAAAATGAAGTATTAAATAGTATTCGATTGAACTGAACTAATACTGTAGCACTATATAAATTATCGATGAATGATATGATAGGAATGTTTTCTGTGAAATTTGAAATAAATTTTTGAAACTTTTAAAAATTCCAATATTTTTTTTTTCAATACAAACTTTAGCTAAATGTGCTTGTATTCCATTGATTGCATTATCGTGAGCATATAGTGTTATCGGATCATTTGCAGCATTTGATATGAATCGCAATGTTCCCCGAAGTGGTATCAATTTTTTTGTGATCATTACTTCGTCCTAATAAATTTGATGAGTAAGATAAAAATAAGAAAGATGAAACTATCACTTACTATAAATAAATTTTAAAATATTTTTTGTCAAATTAAGAAATTTTTAATTTTATTTATTGAAAATTGAAAAATTAACAGAAATTAACGAAAGAATACAAAAATGGAAAATGATTGAAAAATACTTTACCATAACTGTATCATCATACATATTTCACAACCTGACTGTTCACCGAATGATGATACGAATACAATAAGCTCACAGTTGTAATTAATTATATTTTATGCATATTTCGAGATTTCATTATGAGAAAAAAAAAATGTTTCATTTTGCATAAGCAGAAAAAGAAATCGTGAAAATTATGAAATCTTGTGATTGAAATGAATTTAATCAAGAACGCTTTGAAATACTACTGGAATATCTTGGTTTTTTTTTTAATGAAAAAAATAAGGACAGTGATTGAAAATAAAAATTAGGAGAGCTTAAATTAATAAGATACTTGAAAAGTGTTGAAAAGTAAATTCTAAAAATAAGTAATTTTGTTAAAATGAAATTATATTGAAATTATAAGTTAAACTTGAAGTTACAATCAAATAAGATTAAAAAACAAAGGATGTTTTTTTTCCCTATATATTTTTGTGTGAAAAATTGAATAAATGAAAATTATCTTTAAATTGGTCATATTTTCTCTTACATTTTATAATTCAAAAATTAGCAATTGTCCATCCAAAAATTCACTTTTAACGTTTCCATTTTTTTTTTCGTAATTTCAAATTCTTTTTTTCCTTAAGAATTTTGTTTTGTTTCTTCTGCTTCTTGTTGTTTTTTACTCCAACACTATCAATTGAGTTTAAAGCCTTTTTGACTCCATCGATTTTTGATTTTCCTTTAATTACTTTTTTACGCTTTTAAATTACGTTAAATCTCTCAATTTCATTTCCTTCTTCATTCCTCCATCCTGAATTACGTGAAAATTTCATCTCTCATAATCCACGCACGTGTCCTCCAATAATGAGGTTTTACGTGAAATTTGATCTAAATCAGTTCCATCCTCTGCAAATGTTTGTATAAAATTTTAATTGAAATAAAAGGAAAGAATATGAATTGGGCGGTACATCAAGAAGAGAGATATGTGAAAAAGGTGCGTGTGAAAGAAGAGAACGAGACAAAGGAAGGAAAGAAGAAGTAGTAATATTAACCTATTGTGTTTGGTGCTATTATTCAGGTCACACAACTGGTTCCAAGATTGACCTTTTGGTGATTTCTTTAGATGGATAATTTCGGGCGGATTTTAGAGCATTTCGGGTAAATATTACCATTTTTCTGGTAGAAACAGGAAACAAATGAATAGAGAAGTAGTATTGATTGTTTTTAGAAGACGTACACGTATAGAGTTAAGTCAATGTTTTGAATTATTTTTATGGCTAATAAGGTTGTGTATTGAATGGTATGTGTAATGTGTGATTAGGATAATTCAGGTTAGCTACAATATATCATTTTTTTTCACGTTAATAATGATATGATATTAAAAGATATCCGTATATCTTTTACAGTATGGTATGTATTTTGTACAATTACATATCCGATTATCCATTAAGTGATATTTCCGGTAGAGTAGTAGATTGGTTGTTGTTGTTGTTGTTGTTGTTGTTGTTGTTGTTGTTGTTGTTGTTGTTGTTGTTTCTTTTCTTTGATATTCATATTGACATTATTTAGAAATTATTTACTCAAATTTATTGATTGGTTTAGTTAGTTGTTATATTTGGCAAAGCAGAATTATAAACTCACTCACAAGGTCAGGGTCAAAGATGTTGATATTGCCAAAGTTAATCTATTGCATTATGCGATCCAAATCTAACTTAGGTAATTTTTATATTTGTTTCCGCTTAAATTTATTAGAATATAGTTAGTGTAGCACTTGATTACATAATGATCATGCATTGTTATCGAATACATATTTCATTATATCACCGCTTGCATTCTTCATTATGTTGCAAATTCTTCTATTTAGATTACTGAAGTGATATTTTGGTCATGATGGATGTTTCATCACCTCATTCTCTCTCTGATTCTATGAATTCTTCTTCGTTGGATTCATCTTCGAAGGTAGAAACTCTTTCGACAACGTACACATCAATAAACAAAATGGTTGATGATGAATCTGAATATGATGTATTCTTGTTAGAAGCGATGATTTGTTCGATTTGTTATACGGTCAGTTTTATATGTGAAACTAAGCAATGGATTCTGGGCGAGATATTCCGACTTGATTTATGGTCTGAATAAAGTTAAAATAGACTAGTAAGAGTGATGCTTCACTGTACTAGTCTAATTTTAATCGTAACACTATATTTACGTATATTTTCATTTTTATAAATGATTTTCTTGTAAGATATATGATGAGCCGAAACAACTACAATGTGGTCATTCATTTTGTGCAACCTGTATCGATCGGCTATGTAATGAAATGGAACAAAAATATATTTGTCCCTTATGTCGTGCACATTTTACCGATTCGCCTGTCGTCAATTATTCCTTAAAGAGTTAGCGCTCCTCATAAATTCCTTTTTTTTTTGATTTGGTTCCCATGTTCAAGCTGTTTAACGTAGATAACTATCTGATAGCATTTTTTTTTTCTTTGTAGCTTATGCCAAATATTAACTGCTTGTTTAGAATTTGATCCCTGGTAGAAGAAGTGAGCTAACTGTAGTTTTAGTTAGCACATAACATGATCGGATATGAAGCTGTGAATCAAGTTAGATGGGCCAGCTATTTACAGTTTATTATCGAACAGTAAGAGCTTTTGATTTGTAATTTGCCAATTTTGTTAAAGTAAGGACATTTTTCAGGTCTCATATCCAGGATAAAAGAAAAAGGTGCTATGGTTAAATGTTGTTATCAGTGCTCCAAGGCTGCAAAACCAGAGGATCAATATTGTTGTGATGACTGCGATCATACTGACAGAATAGAGGTAGTGTTTCATCTCTATTAGGAGAATAGTATTCATTCTACAACATTTGATAGTGATGATAATCATTATATTTAAAAGTTTTTTATACTGTCAAAAATAGTAAAATTACGGGGTAAAAAAATTATCAAATAAAAGAACAAGACTTATAATAAGTGAACTAATGAGTGTTTTGTCGAAGAAGAATTTTGAAATTTAAAGTGTAAATAAATCTTTTTATGGTATTACAAATTTAAAAGAGACGTACAAAAAAATTCGCATGAATTTCAGCGGTAGATATTCTTTTTAAATAATATTTTGATAACAATGTCATAGGAACAGATCATAATTATGATGAAGAAAGATCTGGAAAAAAGTAAATTATGTTAACAACTCTTTATACATTGAAATTACTAAATTTTTTTAATTAAATTGTTCAGCACGTTCGTTGCGGTTTGTGTGTAATAAACGGACATGCTAAAGTGGGTCATGCTGTATCAAAGTACGGCGAATCAAAAAAACGAATTGAAACAGCTCAGCAGACACTTCAAGAAATGATCAGTGAGAATGTGCAATTTTTGGCAGAATGTAAAAAATTAACGACTGATCGCCTAATTTGTGTGGATGATTTGTTTAAGGTGTGTTTCGATAGCAAATTTGTAAACTGTAATGTTTTCTTGCCCTTTTATAAGTATTATGTTTAGATAAAATTTCGTAAGAAAATATAACAGAAGAATATTTATTTTTTATTATTGGAACAAAGCGATCTATGAAGTTTAATATCGATAATATCGATGGCTAAAAAAGGTTTTCCCTACGACATCAATATTTCAGCTGCTTAATGGACAGTACACACAGTTCAAGTCGCTTGAAAGAGATCTAAATACCGATGTTTTTATATCAAAAAAAGATATTGAGTTAAGATTAGAGCATGCCCGACGATTACATGGAATTTGCATGCGGGTTTGTTGTTGAATATTATTCAATGTATCATAGAAACGTCTTGTGTAACAGCTTTATTATATTGACGTAAATTACATGAATCTGTCATGGATTTATTTTTCGAACTAAGTAAATTATTTTTTTTTTCAAGAAATAATTTGCTTAGTTCAAGCTGAATAATGGGTTTTTTTTTTCAATATAACTCAATTTAAAAAATGGCATGAAATCGAGTTGAGAGAACTGAAAGAGTGATTAGGAATTATCAAATAGAGAATTGTTTGATATTCTTATTTGTTGTGGCTATTAATGGGTAGATGAATTTACCAAATTATTTTGATTCTATGACGATTATGAAGCAGACATTTTATGACAGTAATGTTATAGTGGGTTGCGATAAGACGATCATCTCTTCCCACAAATATATCTTAGATTATTTCTTTCCACAAAATTCAGTTGAAAATTCTGGTCTCCCAACAACGTTATTACCAGCAGCTGGATGATCTAGAAACATGTTAGAGTTTTTTTTTTTTCTTCAGCTAAAGAAATACTTTCTGTTGTCGATTGTTCAACATCAGCGATTCATTTTTGATTAATCCTTTTTGATCCATTTCTGAATAATCGAGTCATGAAGTGCATGAAATCAAAAGATTTATCGCTGATATGAGGTCGATCTACAACAGTGTGATCATTCGCATATTATAAATTAAATAACTGAAATATTACAGAGTGCGTTCGAATTTGCCGGCCTCATGAATACTGTGTTCAACGAAATTACAGTACTAACAGAAAGGACAGCTGTGGAACTCGCAGGTCATGCTGTATATGGTGATATATTGAACAAAAGAGAATTAATTGCACAATCCGCGCAGTAAGTATTTTACATTCATCATGTATACCAAACAGAACTATAGTGCTAAATGATAGCTGACTAATATTTGATATAACGATATAGCACAAAAACATGATACTTTGCACTAAATGCATCAATTTATGATACATTCTACTGTTATAACTTATATTGATTTGATTATTTTGCAATGCAATTATATTCATGTGTGACTATTTGTTTTTTTTTGATTTTTGAATAATTACAGAGATGGCAACTTGAAATTGTTTAAACTTTAAATCTTGCTTTCTTTTTTTATTTCAAATTTTAAAATGACACTTCATAAAGATAAAGACATCAAATTTTAAGTGGAAATTTTAGAAAGTTAAAAAAAGTTTTAGAATACCTACATCAGAGAAAATAAGATATCAATATGTCGTGAATGTTAACATTCTTTTTTTTTCTGAAAGGAAATATAGTTACCAAAAAAATAGAATTAGATGTTTAGCCTTGTTGATTTTAATAATTATTTCTTTAGTATGAATATTAATTTCAGGGAACAAACACGATCATGGTTCGAATATCAACGAACGGGACGCTTTAGTGCCTTATGCTCAGCTATAGCACGGCGAAATGCAGCTATAGCTCGACGCCATCTTATGACTGGAAGTTCTCAATTAGAATCGGAGGTAATTGTCGATGTATTGCCACCAACATCATCGGCAACACCTTTACCTGTTTTGCCCGTGATTAGAAATGAAGTTTTGCTCACTGATCAAACTTGAAATCTTAATAATGTTACTATAAGAAAAATTGTAAAAAACTTTAAACTTTTTAAATTAAAAAAAAAGATTGATATTCATTGCTTGAAATTTCATCCTATTATATGTAATAAAATTTAAATGAATTGTTTGGTCTATATCATTGAGCATGTACTTTTCTCATTGGCATGCCAATTTCCTATTTCCTAAACCAGTGTAGTGGATGTTTTATGCTTGTTTAATTTTTTTTTCCAAGAATTTAAGCTGCAACTTTTATCTTAGACGACTAATTATTCGAAAAAGTTTATCCACAATTTTTGATCCTTAAATATAGTTATCCGTAATTTTGGGTTCATCTCCACTAGTAATGTTATAATCTTTTTTGTGGCTTATTTTAATTCCTTGGAATTGTGTATTTGTGATTTTTCACACTATTCTTGCACAATTGCTGAATAGGTAATCATGGAAGCAGTTCTTGTGATTTAATATTTGGAAACTTCTAAACTTCAGGGAAATATCGAGGAATAGATGACTTAAGCGTGAACCGCTGATGTAAGAACGATAATTGTATTCTACAGAGTTTTAAGAGCGTTTTATGTTGCGACATTTTTTGAAACGAATCAGAAATGCCGTGGAACTGACGAAATGCCACTGTCGGAAACTTACGAGTGAAAAAAATGAGATGACATCAAGTGGCGAAGTTTGGGATGATCCATGGCAAGCTGCTATGTCGAAAACAGGTGTCGATTTTCGTTTTGAACTAATTCTTCAGCGACCATAACAATTTTATTCTGTCACAAAACAATAGATAAAATTTAATATGAGAACAGTAAATATTTAATAGATATTTGCTTTATCGATTGGGAGGTATGAATAATTGATGTTATTTTTTATAGAAAAGAAAAGCAGCTCTTTTTCTTTTCATTAAAAAATTCTTCCAACTATTAAATTCATCTCCCTTCTTTTTTCTTGTTTCCTCTGGTAGTTATCATTCATAGGATGTTATTTGCTTTTTTTATAAACTTTGTTTTATAGTTTTCTTTCTACATTATAAAATTTAGTATATTGTCAGTTGATTATAATTCGAATATACGGAGGATTATTTCAGAGCATACGCAAAGCAGAGCGGTTGAGATATCAATTGACTGGAAGTATGTAGAAAGGCTAATGCCAAAGAAATTGATTCCTGATGTACCGAAATATGATACATATCCAACACCTAGTGGTTGGAGACCGCCAAAACGTGTGATTTTTTTTTCTTTTTTCCGTTTGCCCTTTTTGGAACAGATTCAAGAAGTCTCTGTGGCTTAATTAATTTCCAGAATTCTTATTTTATATTAAATTATTTTTAGAGAATTTGCATTTTTCCTTTTAGCACGACCAGATTTAACATTTTATGTGGAACGAAATCGTAATCACTTGTTACCACTTTATTTGGAAACGAGAAGGGATCAGTTAGATCCAAAGACATTGGATTTTGAATATGTTGAGTTAGTGGTAGTGAAAAAAATCCATGGCAATATATTTGTATGTTCTACTTTCTTTTCCTTTTCAGTTTTTTAAATAAGTTATAGCTATGGCGTAATATTGAGTTAATAGAAACAATTCTATTAAAGCTTATTACCTGTGCGCAATTTTTACTATATAGAGTGTGACCAACTTTGCTATATTCAAAGCATCTCTTCATTATGAGATCTCTGTTGATTCGACCTGAATCGTAGTCAAATTTGGAATGTTTTATTTTCTAAGTAAACTAATAGACAACTTGCTTTTCTGTAACATATTGCACGCATTATAATACATCCACTATTTATTCTGCAACTTTTCCAAGTTTCATGCGTTTGTGAAATTTTCCGAAAGTTATTCATTTCTTTATATTAAGGATTGTGAAAAGAAGATACGAGAATATTTGGAAGAATATTTGCATCATCCAATCGCAACGCACGTTGATGAATTGAAAGGATTCATTCGAATAAAAGGTGCTGATCGTGCTGTCGTTGAGCAATGTTTGTATGATTTTGGTTTTTGAATATTAAGGCTTTTTTTGTCATAAGTGAACGTGCCTATAGAATAAATATTGTTTGCAACCGAGATTTCCGTACACATACAATCTTTTTCTCAAAAAGAAAGATGAATAAATGTTTTCCATTAGAACGATTTTCAACATTACAATACAATCCATTCGTATGTGCCTTCTTCATTTTTTTCAATCCTGCAAATATTTCATTCAACCAAATAAGCCTAAAAAAAAAACTTCTGCATCTCTTTCCCTTTATTGTTTGGATAGTACTGCGCATGTAAACTTATCTTTTAAATGTTCTCTTCAATGTAGCTAATACAATCTATACTTAAATGATCTTATAGCAAGTCATTTTTGAACCACTGCGTCGGAAACGATTTGCTACTTTTCCAAACATGGAACTAACTTTGTAAGGAGATGTGAACTGTAATTTGTAGCTTCTCTCTTCAATTTTAACTGCAATGGTTAGATTAGATTATTTCGTTGCTAATATTTGGTAGTGGAAGCTAATTTAAGATGTGGTCGATTGAAATATGTGATAATTTGATTGAAGTTAGATGTAAACTAAGACGAAAATAATAGAATAGAATTTGGCTAACCGATTATGCTACTTAGCTTCTTGATAAAGATTAGCTAAATTGGAAAAAAAAAGAAGGATTCTAAATAATTTCTCTTATTCAGAAATGAGTAATGAAGAAGATTATTTGTTGAAAGACGATAGATGAATGAATGTAAGTCTGAAGTAAATTAAATTAAAATAGGATTAAATTAATACAAAAAAAAAAATAGGATTGCAAGTAGTATTGGTAGCAAATTTTTAGTCAAACAGAAATTGAGACAGAATGTTTTGGTGGTTTATGTTCGATAAGCATTGCGTACATTAAATTTCTTTTAGTTTGGGATAATTACGAATGCAAGCATTTTTTTTTCTGCTCGAACATATTGAAGCGTAGACGTTAACATTATAATGAGTTTTCTATTAGTTTATCATTGGCAAAATTCAAAAAAAAAAAAACATCCGCATAAAGATTATACTGTGCAGACATCCATTAAATTTATATCCCATTAGTTTACGTTTATTACACGTTACGCTTTGCATTATCGTCATATTTCATTTACGCTAGCGTCATGTATTTTATTATATGCATCATAATGATGGTATTTTCAGGCTACTTTTATACTTCATTTATGTGGCCGTGAAATTTTTTAATGAGTGCTAACAAATGGTGGAGTAATGGTGATTTACCACCGCTATCTATGCGATACTTTCATCCCTCATTACAATTTTTACCACGAAATGATCAATTGGAAGAAAAGGATAAAATTTTAGAAGAACGTTTGACAAATTTAAACATGAATGATGGTGAAAATCAAATGGAAACATTAGCATCGTTAGAAAAACGATCGGAAATGCTAAGGATAAATGGTAGAAGTTGTTTTTTGTTAGCTTTATTCTAATAAATTCTTATGAGGTATTCAGTAGAGGGATTGTAACGCTGTCTTTCTTGAAATATTGGTCCTTTGATTATGAAATAAGAGTTGAGTTATTCCATGTGGTTGGTTGTAGCAGAAGAACGATGCGAAGACACGCGTTGAATTGTATTTTATTGCGAGTGAAACCTAATGTTGAAGGGTAAAACACATAAGACTTGGTGAATACAAATCAGAACTTGACAACATACCAGAAGTTGACAATAACAAACTAAAACTTGACTGGATTGGTAACTCGATCTTTTATATTGAGTTTGGAGGTTGGACCAAAGATAAACAAGGGGTTTATGAGATTGGTGACCTGACCTAACGAACAGATAACTAATAAACTAGATCAAAGGATAGGACCGACATAATGAGTTTATGAGTTCATAAGATTTCTGGCCTTGATTTACTGTAATCAAAAGGTCAATGTGATGTTACGAAATCTGAGATATATTTGGATCATATTTTGGTTTCCGATAGAAGTAATCATATTTAAATTTCTCTTCGATTTTTTAAATTTTTTTACAGATTTCTGCACATCAGTAAGGAATTTTATTTGAAGTAATTAGTTAATTTATTAGCTTTTACTTTCTACCCATTCCATCCCATTTACATTTTTCTGAAATAGCTGAATCTTCAAAAGAAAAAATGAAAAAAACAAAAAAATTCTGCTCAGTACTTTTTTTGGTGGTGCGGAACACTTTTATTTTCTCTTTCTTATCGATTAGAATAAATGAATTGTTTGATTTCTGTCGACTTTACAAAGTACATTTTGTTTTGAGGTCAGGATACGCCTTCAGTGGATGATATAGAAAAACGACTGGCAAAGCTTCGTGGTGTACCAGTAGAGAATATCAGATATCCTAGGGTATGATAACAGTTCAAAATATCAGTTTAAGCTTTTAGTCCAGTTTGAGGACGTATATCTTAACTGTTTCCACTTGGGCAAATTAAGTTATGCAGCAGATTTTTATTAATTATGCTAATTATGTTCAAGTTATATATCAGATTTTATTTATTTATTCTAGATTTTTTTGTTATAATGTTACCCGACTTTTAGTCTGCAATTTTAAATGGAAATGAAGAAACGGTTGAAAAATTGATGAAACGAGCAAGAGATGAAGCCATATTAGAAACAAAGTGGGATCGTTCTAGGAAATCGGAAGAAGATGATGTTGATCCAGAAGAATTTATCAAAATGTGCGAAAGTGATGCCTCACTTTCAGGTAGTATATCTCTTTGTAACTATCAGTTTTATTTTATTTGCTGAAGCAAGAAATTTTTTCTCGCAATTCTTTTATAAAAGATATATTGTTTGTGTTATATGCGTAATTATTTTACAAGAGTATGGTATTGTTGGTTAGTAATTAATTGATATTTTCTTAGAATTTTGTTTCACATTAAGATTTGGTTTTCTTGAGGAACAGAACTTGGGGAAATGATTTGTAGCAAATATCTCTTGACCAACAGCATAACGATTCTTTTGCGGAGGAATTTAATTTTATTTCTGTATTCGCACATTTGATCTTCTACCCTAGAAGCAGAACCTTATTAAGTGCTCTAGTTCTGAATAGAAATTATCACCATTTGAGAAGTAATCGTTGAACTGATAGTTTTTATAGAGTTGAGTGGAAAGTTATCCATATCAGATACAGATGTAACGATGGGTCGGGATACGATTCGGAATTTAAAAGACATACAGCGAACGATAAAGTTGGCCAAGCAACGAAGTATGAAGGCAGCTAAGCTGACAGGAAGCGTAGGCAATGATAATGATTCCGTGGACAACGAAATTAAGAAGCTGATGAAATTAAGTATGAAAAAATCTACTTTGTTGCGGTTGGAAATGATTTATACATAACATGTAAACGCAATAGAAATATATACGTTTGGCCCGGCGGAATTTTGAGCACTAGTGAAAGTTCTCGAGAAGATAAATCGCATAGTTATGTAATTTGCTTTCTGCTTTTGATGATAGATCCACGAGCAGGTTGCTACATTACTGAGATCACGTTCGAATTCTACTCTACATTACTCCATCTAGAAATTTACTCTGCTTACGAAATCCGCATTTTAGCTAATCAAAGTAACGTAAAATCGGAAAAAATAAGTGACGAATTGAGCAAGTTTTGGGAGAAAAGATTCAATCACAACTTGTCTTCTTCCGAGTCTAGTATCAAAAGCGAAAATCCGGATGATGATGCCGAAATTGATTATGAAGAACTACAAAAGGTAGGCTCAGTGTTCTTATTGAATTATCGCTCGTCCTGTTCATTTATTAGATTAATTGTCACATCTACTAATTTCTTTTTGGGAAGAAATGATATATCATAAAAAAAGATGCAAAAAATGAAACATTTCCCAATTTTAATGATTGAAAATTGTTGCATTATTATTTTCTGATACATTTGAAATTTAATTAAGTGGCGCATGAAATGGTCCATAGTATTAGACTAACATAAGTATTGTTATCTTTTATTTCAAGGTTGTACTTGAAGCTGAGAAAGCGGAGATGGAAGCCACAGAAATGATAAAACAGTCAAAGAAAAGTGACAAGAAATATGGTATATTTTCCAAAATCTTTCATTCTCGATAACTGTGTACATCTCACCTGCCCACTTTAATATCTTAATGAAAAACCAAGTACAATTAAAATGTTTAAAAATTAAAAATAATTGTATTATTTTCGCTTTCGTACTACATTAAGAAAATTAAATTTACTATACATATATTTGGAAATTTACGATTAACTTATATGTATCATGTTGCTTATCATTTATATAAGTAGTTGTGTTTTGTTTGGCGGAATTTACATTTTGCAGATATTTTTCATATGACATCCGGTATTGCTTTTATATGCTTATATGACTGCGACTGTAATAATAAGTTGAAATTACTGATAACTCAAACTTCTTTGAGCCACTATCAAGTGATTTAAATGTTTCTAGTCTACATTTCTCTTTTTTTTTGTTTATTTTATAACATTTAAAAGCACTTTATTCAGCAATAATAGCGGAATTCTTTTTCTTTCAAATCTTTGATATCAAATCAAAGATTATCTCATACATCTTCTAATTTTACGTCATTTAAGAGCATAATAATGGACGACAGAGCATAATAATGTTTCCAACTTTTTTGTTTACAACTTCTTTTTCGAATATCACTAATGTTTGTGCACATACAAAAATTTTGTGATCCTATTTAATATTAGAAGTCCTCCTTATAGCATTGTAATTATAGGTTCCGATGCTCATACCTTTGAAATATTTCACTTATTATGCATTGTTTCCTTCTAAGTGTCATCTGAAAATGCCAAATAAATTTTTCTGTTGCAAAACTTGTCAACTCTCGTCTAAATAATAAATGGTACAAAGGCTTTGCGATCCTTTGGATAGTTGTCAAACTTTTGCTGGTACCACCTGAAATAAGACTATAATAAGATACTTCTTGTAAAAAAAGTTTTAGTGATTAATGATTCTTCTTTACATCTCCTTGCATAAACTGAAATTTTTAATTTAAAGAAATCACTTATGATGCTGATAGGCGCGCGGTGCAAGATTGCATAATGTGAAAAATGCGAAGGCAAAAGCCGGCAATGTGCGTGTCAGTAAGGCATAACCAGTCCATTCAACACATTCTCCAAAGAAATTTGCTCCGGAGACATATTTGAACAAACCACCATAAGGTATTTTGTAGCCTAGTTCTCCATCTTGTCGCAAATTTCGTAGTATTGAATCGGACGTGATATTAATCACCATTCCAGTGATAAATATCAGTGTGCCTATTAAAAGATCATTGTATAATAGGTGATTGTGATATAGTAATGTTACATCACATGTTTATGAAGAATGTAATATAGGTTGTATTGCGAAGAGCACACAGATATGCTAAATGTTATCAGATACAATTATACTAAATGGATATGCAAACAGGTTTGCATATCCGTTTAGTGTAATCGATATAATATCCAAATTTAATAGAGATGCTAGAAAGCACTGAAAGATGTGAATGCTTACCTACCAATGAAGCAAAACATCGTATTCTTCAGTGATTCGTTATACACAACGTTACGAGAATGCCATGTAGCTTGCATATATCCATTAACTGTGCAGAATAAAAAAGCTAGCAGGAAAATATGCGCAGGAATTCCTGTACTCCCTTTGATCAGGAATGGATAAATTAGAGCTCTGAACTGGATAAAATATAAGTAAAAATATTTAAAATTTACGAAAGAATCAAAATGGAGTTCTAGCTTTCCTTAAATAAAAAAAAAGAATATTTCCTTTTTTCTTCGAAACAAATGCATTGAGCAAATATATCCTCTTCAAAAGAGTAAAATAAGATGAGATATTGTTGTACCTGTTAATATAATGCAAGCAGAATAAGGTAAGGATAAATATATTGATAAGAGGCTGATCATTAATATCAGTAATGAGATAGTGAAGAGGAATGTATAACGATGGTAATTCTTGTATAAACCAAGCCCATTTAGCTGGTATAAATGGTACCTGAAAATGACACGTTTAGAGGACGTAACGTGTTATGGATTTCTGTAAACTATTATAACTATTAACTACTGCATTTCAACATAACCTTACAATTAGATAAATATTATGACAAATTCTCTCATTTACACTACACATAATTTGGATAAGAATAAAATAACTTTGCAATAGTTTTAGAATTCTAGTTTTCTAATTCCATTTTAGTACCCAAGAATTAATGAAAATATTTTCTCTAGTTCTTAGTAGGATAATTTTTAGGTAGAGCACTACTAATAAACTTAGTTAAATCTCCCTTTACTTATCGTGATATCCAGAATATTATGCCCAAATTTCCTATCAACTTGTATTTTAAACTCTTTATGTTTTGTCGTATTTGTCAAAGATTCCACTCTAATGTTGTATTGATATTTATAATTAGGCTAGACGCTTTGTTCCAATTACTCGTAAGGCTATAACGGTATCTTCATCATATTCACTATATAACCAACAATTATTATATGTTTAGGATTTATCACATGTCATTTTGATATAATTTGTATACAACGTCGATCTTACATAGTATCCCAAAGTTTCTTTACCACAATAATTTTGGCCTTTTGTTCAATTCGCAATTTTTTTTCTAAGAATTGACCAATCAATTAATAACCAATCAATGCTATTACTAACTTCCATAATAAGTCTGCTATCACAATTGATTTACCATCATTTTACTACTATCACTATCACTGTCACAATGATCAGAAAAAAAAGGACCGGTAAATGGGATTGCTGAGAATATCGTCCATAAGTAGCTTTGAATCCCGAGATAAGTATTATGAAGGTAATAGCACCACTGATAAGCATACCATACGATAGCATTTCGATCACCATATTCATCCACCCGTCTCAAACAGATCTGCAACGAATCATTGCTATAATATATAATATTAACTTTTATAATATCTTCTATTTTCGAAGAACGAAACTTCCCAAAAAAAAAAAGGACAGAGTTAAATACTGTGTAAAACAATACGTATAAAACAGTACGTGTATGTAGAAAACGTAACATTACCCGAGACTAGTGTGCTGACGTGAATTTATGTCTTAATATTTTGTTTTGTTGTCTGAGTTGAGTATGATTTATTATGATAAAGCAATAGTTTTGGTGATAACGTCAGTAGTGTCAGAAAAAATCCCTATAAATCTCCGTTATAAATTTAAAAAAAAAAAACAAAAAAACAAACATGGAACTGGACTAATGACTAATAACTGACGTTGATAACTCATTGTGGCGTGGTAATCGGACGTTTACGTAGCACTTATTTTCTCGTTGCTGGTCTGTCAATCTGTCAATACGTAGCACAACATGCCACCACGGATGATCTTGTCTATCGTGAAGAAAAGTGTTCGTGTTGTATTAGTTGATATTGTACGTGTGTTACGCATAAGGTTACATGAGTTTGCATTGCATGGGAAGATATTATTGAGTTACGTGACGTTTTGCATGTAATTATGATGTAAAACATTAGTGAAATTAATGCATTCGGTATATATTCTCTTTTTGTGATCTGACCGCGGCTTTCTGACATGTTTCGTAAATTCTTGACTCCATTTATCCTAAACTTTTGCTTTACATTTGCTTTTGATCTGATCAAGTCGTTGTAGTAAAATAACTGACATAGAAGAAATTGCATTAAAGTTAGCGAGATGATTGGAATATGTTTTATCGTTAAACAACGTGATATGCATTAATTTGATTTAGATTTATATGCTTTCACATGTTCGCATTTCTACGAAAACCACATTTTAAATTCTGATGGCTGATAAGGTTATTATTTTTGCTTGATTTCAGGTTTCATTCTTGTCATAGTAACCTTATTGCTTTATAGCGAATCTTAAACCATATAATTTTCACTTCTTAAGGCAATTATTCTAGTGAGGATATTTGATATATTGTCTTTCTGCCAAAAATCAAAAATCAATAATTATCACACTGAACCATTGACAACTTTCTTCTTTTTTTTAAATAAATTAGGAAATTCTTCTATAGTCAAAGGAAATTCGAAGTACAATAAAATATTTTATTTATTTTTCTTTTGCTAGTCCATTTCTATTATTATATAGCTAATAATCGTTTAAAATAATAATTTATCGTATATTCCAATTGACTAGTATTTTTAGCCTTGGTAGTTGTTCATGTTTTTGATAGAACAATAACATTATAGTTCATTGTATTACTTAAGCATTTTTAATTGCAGATTACACATATAACAGTTGCACTGGGACGATTGGAACAACAATATGTGGAGCATAAAGAAAAGTTCGAAAAATGGAAGCTGAACAATATGTACGTTTTTCCTAAATTAATACGAAACATGAATAATATGAATTTTTATAGATATCTCTTAATTCTAATCTAAAACGTGATTGATGCCGGTATACCTATTACTCGTGACGTTGCTTTCAATTTTTCCAATTGTATTTTGATGCAAAATTTCTCTAACTTCTGCAATATGCACTACATCATGCATTTGACAGCTTCAAACAGACATTAAGAGCATTCTGTCGCCCTTTCAGAGAACAGGGTAACATTTTAATTAATTTACTTTAAGAGCGCAATGTGGTACGGAAACGTATAATAAGTATGTGGAGGAGTTTAATGAGTGGGAGAAAGGTGTCAAAGAGCAACAAAGACAACTGATTGAAGAGCGTAATAGTTTACTCGCACCGCAAGATTTGGATACTAAATTAGGTGTGTTTTGTCATATTAGGCAATACTGTTATGTAAAATGGTGATGCTTTATCATCTTTTCTTGGATAAAATTTATAGTTTTGTATTATATTAGCTGTGATTTTTTGCTTAGTATTATGCTCCCTTGGTTATAGTTACCACTTGGATATTATGAAGACAGTAACATGTTAGATGAGGTATAACTGTTTTCGTAATATATATTTGAAAGAGTGTAATATTGTAAAAATTTACTTGAAAGAGTGTCACAAATGTAGGAGCGCTATGAAAAAAAGTTAGATATTTCTAATGTTTAGATGGCTTGTTGGCTCAAATTTCACCAAAAGATTTTATTCTTGCCGTTGTGATGATGACCAGTAAAGATCCTACATTTTTCCCAGCGCTACTTTCTGCTCTACAGAAAGTTCAAGCATATGGTAAGTTTTACTTTTTTAAAATTATTTTTTAAACAAGAGTTTACAGCTGTTAAAGAGAATATTTGAAATAACATTTAACAGTTTGTATACTTCTTAAGACACGGGTTTTCCTTTTTCTCGTGTCCTCAGAGATTAGTAGGATAATGAGAAGTGCACTATTTATCAAAGAAAAAGAAGAGAATTTTATTAATGAGATTTTCTCATTTTGCGGATAACTGAAGCGGAAAGAAGAAGTGACGATAATAAAGTATTATTATTGAAAGTAATGTTTTCTTCAATTATAGATGAAGCACGGCAAGCAAGTATATATCACGCATATGCAGCGTCAGCAGCATCCTATGCACCATCAGCGAATCGTCAGTATCCTTCTCAAATTCAATATTCTAGTACGCAAACTTTGCGGCCCTGTAAGCTTCCTGGTTTTTTATCTCATACCTTTTGCAAAAATTTTTTCTGGAGTCCATGCTAGATTTGAAGAATCCTTAACGCTTATAATATAAAAATATTTGATTGTGTTTTACTTTTATTATATAGTTAGTGAATCCGTTTGGATTATAGCGAATCCGACTCATCCGTATGGTGCGGTGCGATCTGACGTTCCAGTTGATGTAACCAAGCGACCATATAATAACCTACTTGGAGCCACAAAAGGCGATGAGTTGACTGCACGCAAAAGTTACCGAGCTCCATCACCAGTTCGTGATTACCGAAATCCCTCAACATTACCTTTCCGTGATTTTAGCCAAACGTAGTAATTATTGCGCCAGAAATGTTATTATTTTATTCAATGAATAATTTCTTGCTGATGAGATACTAACTTATAATTAACGCCAAATAAAACAAGTCAGGGACGGAATTTCATGCTCATATGTTTGTAAGTTATTTGGTTCTCATAATTTGTTGCTGAATTTCATCTTTTTTTGTGTTTACAACATTTCATTGATTTATTCTTAAAATTTCCATTAATCACCTCAATCTGCTTGTATAAAATTAAGACTTATGATATTTTCTGGTAAATCAGTGATGTTCTTTACATAATATACATGCAGAAAAGTTCTTCTGGATATTCAGTATTACCGATTATTCTATCAGGACATACATAGAAAAATTAAATTCTGAAAGTACTTTTACTATAGGAAGTATTGGTGTAAAGGACCGGAAAGATTTAGAATTGAACTTTGCTGGAGATTTACTTTAGTATGCAGTAAAATACGATAGACTACATAAATAAAATAGTATATTAGGGAATAATATTCTTGCAGGTACAGATTAAAGGAAAGACAAAATATTGATTTCAGTCATATGGTAAAGCTTACACAGTAATGTTATCATGTTACTAATTTGCGGAATGAAAAAGTCTGATCATTATTTTCTTCATAGACAAAGAGTGATGATTTAGATTCCGATATGAGAATGAGAATCTTTTTGCTCTTTATATTTATTATCTCATTTAATTTAAAAAGATTTTCCAGATGGCATTATCGTGGGTACATTGTAATAATTGTTATTTAATTGCTACTGCTCAGAATACCACCAAGCGTGAGTCTTTTGCACTTGGAAGTTGTGGACACATATTCTGCTCTACATGTCTTGACAAATGTGGTTCGTTTACTAATAGTTTTTCAGTTGTTCGTAAAGTAAAGCTGATATAAGTCATAAATATCAGCAAACTCTTATTTTTATTTGTCGCTACGAATTTGTAATGTATGTTTTGGTTAAATGTCAACTAGAACTCTTATTTTTTGTCTGGTTCCATTAGATATAATTACTAAATAGTGAAAAAATTGGTACTCCTCATTTGATATTATCAGATTAGATATTTCATTGTTTTAATCCAAGTGGAATTATTTATTTCCCTTCTGATTATCTGCTGATTCTATTCAAAATGAAATCTTTTACTTTCCATTTGATGGTTGCGCTGTTGGAGCACTCTTATTAATTTATGGATGAAAATATGCTATATTATATGTGGTTGAGGTAGTTGAAAATATGTTTCTTTGGAAAGCAATTGAATCCAGAATATGCTATTTATTATATCAAGCTCCTTTTTCAAATGTTTCTATTAATGATTGCAGTATCAGGAAAGATGTGCACGGTATGTGGTCGTTCACCTTTTACTTATGAAACTGTGGGGCATCATATGAGTGAGAAAACAAAAAAATATTTCCAGGTTTGTATTAAATAATAAAGTCGATTAACTTTTTAATTTTTTTTTTTTGGTTAAATTTGTTCTGTAGAAAATGGAAACAGAAATGATAATTTCAGGCACCTAATACTTTATTGTCAAATGCTTTACGGAAGATAAACTCTGTCATCAAATTCCAACAGAATCAGTACAGCATAATGCAAAATAATGTGAAGAACATGGTAGGCTTTTGCATTTTTATAGTACAGTTGTTTCTGAAAATGCTTTACTAATCTCGATAATTTCCTGTGTACTATCGAGATTAGAATATTAGCTGCAGTCATAATTCCATGCTTTAGAGTTGGCGTTTACTACTAACTGTAGGGTTATTGTGCACCCCCTAATAAATGGTATTGATTAATTCGACAAACATTCTTTTACTATTAAATCATGATTATATCTGTCAAGAAGATTTTGCTACTTCTTTAAATTTATATTTTAAAGAAAGATTCTCTCTTTTTTATATTGCAAATCAAATCACTTCACCATCTGCTGGAAAATATTAATCAGTTGAAGATTTACTTTACATTTTAATTCTAATGATCCTTTAAAATCAGTACACAAGAGAACTAACGATGGAGGAAAGCAAATATGCCTATAAGCAAGGATTTAGCCTGTTCCTTTCCTGCATCGAAATGTATTTCAAAAAAAAAAAACCAGTGCATAGGAGAAGTATTTACCAAGAAACATTATTATCAAGAAAAACAGACATATTTTTTGAAACTGTAGGAAATATGTCTTTTTTTTTCTTAGTAATAATGAAAAAAAATATGCATATTCGCAGTGATTTTAAAAAATGACTATTTAGACGAATGAAAAGAACATTTACAGGCATGTTTTTCATCCAGTTACGATTTCTCTTAAATGGTGATTTTAAAAAACTTCAAAAGTTATGTATTTTGCATATTTTCTTGACAAATTGAAATATTTGATTTTAGTGTGGACGGATGAATAATGTATCTGATCGATGTAAGGAAACTGCCAAGATCTGCGATTTTCTGGAAAGGTAAAATTTGCTGTTTTGTAGATATATTATCTTTGCTCCTAAGTTACCATTTCAGAAGAGTACTAAAGATAAAGTTAATTCATCATTGCCACAGATGCAGTGAATCGTTTCTCTCTTGCCCTGTTCTTCCTCTTTCATCATATGCAGTTATTATTTTTAGATATATTTGCAGTGTCACTTTTCGTGATATCTATTAGTTGGAAGCAAAAAAACATTTGTGTTTTTTTAATTGAGATTTTTGATGCCGATCTCAACATTTAGAAATGCAAATTCACTGGTAACTAATGTGCAGCATCATCATGGAATGTTGAAGCATTTGATTAATTCGTTTGTGGATTGTACACAAAACTTGAACTTTGGAGACGTTAGTGAGAATGCCGATATATCAGGTATATTTTGATAAAAGTTAAGAAAGAAAAAGATGAATATGGTACACAAAAAAGATTTAATCGATTTGTTGGCGAAAACACAATAAAGTGTTGAAAGCGAAAACACGATAAACTGTTAATTGCATTTTCAGGTCCAGTGGATTTAAAGCAGCGTTCATCCCAAAGCAGTAATGTAAAATCTTTATTTTTATCATAACATTTATTAAAAAAACCTAAAGTAAAAAAGAGATTAATACGAAGAAGGGAATATGAATGAATAATAACCATAGACAAATTTAGTAATTTTAATATTTGAGAGAAAATATGTATCAGCGATGTTCCGCCGTATTAATTATCTATTGTTATCAGCGTTAGCTTGACGAATTATATTTGTATTATTCGTGTTCACTCAAAATAATGTTTAATGCGACAAATGCAGAAAGAGACTATTCGAGATCTTTTAAGTAGAGATTTGGACTTTAAAAATATTTGTGATTTTTTGTTTGATCTGAAAAGAAAACATATAATGAAAGATTTGTTTCACAGGAGGAACTGAACAAAGCAAACAATTTTTCGATTGGAAGTGAATCTTTTAATAATATGGTGTCGCTAGACGGGGTAAGGCTGAGCAGTTACATCCTTTTCCTTTTTTTTGTTCTACTAATTTATTTTATAAGTTTGTTGCCAAATTTTTATGTAATACAGTTTGAAGATCATTGCCATACACTTATTGAATTTTTTATATTCTCATTTAAGAAAATACTATTTTACAAGTGATACTTTAACTGTAAAAATTTTAGTTTAAATTATGGATTTTAATGGTTGTTACATACACTTGCAGCAAAGTTTCTCAAATTTCAATACAACAATCAATAAGTCGTCGATGCATTGTTCTGATGTTAACAGAGACCTCTCAATGCTATATTCTCGATCAGTAAAAATACCCAAGAATTTGACAGCCGTATTTAATGGTAAAGATAGAAGTAATATAATGAAAATAACTAGGTAAGTTGCGTATTATTTCAAGCAACATATGAATATTATTAATTTTCACAACGTTCAAAAAGAATTTTTTTTTGGAGTTTTAATTTTCCCTTGCGAAATATTACAGACGATGTTAATAATAATTTAATGGAGCTGTTCAGGATAAATAGTCTGCTTTGAATTTTTGATTTTGTTTCGGCACGGTCTGTTATTGATATTGTGTTTTCCAAGCAATAAAATGTTTTTTTTCTTTTTTTGACTTTTATTCTTTTTTTAATTCCGGTAGTGGAATACTTTAGGAGGACATCCAATCTTGAGCAACTCAACTCAAGTCGTTCAGCAGCATTTTAGTTTCTCATTAACATTGAGTTTTCTCAATTATTTGATACTGTTTA